GGCGCCGGGGGCCCCGGTGCCGGGGGACAAGCCCAAGCGGAGGTACCGGCAGAAGCTGAAGAAGTACGGCAAGGTAGGCCGCCCCACTGCCAGGGATCGGGGTGCGGGGTGCGCCCGGGGCTTCCCGGTGGGGAATGGATTCCCGTCCCCACCGTGTGCCTGCGCTCAGCCTCCTGGGCCCCCCACAGCCACCCTCTCTCCAGCATTCACTACTTACGTCCCCTAAACCGTTCCGCTGTGACCTGGGAAAGGAAGGAAAAGTTTGGAGTAAAGACAGAAACTAAAGCCGAGGTGTCCCCAGGCGCCCATCCGCCAGCGCCCCCGCTGCTGGCTGCTTAGTGACAGGCCCAAGGGTCGCTCACCAAGCCGGTTCCCAGCCTGGGTGTGTCTTACACGCCCTTGTGGGCTGGGCAGGTGGGGATACTGAGGCCTGGGCGTGGGCAGGTGCGTGTAGAACAGCGGTTCTCAACCTGTGGGTCGCGACCCCTTTGGGGGTCGAATGACTCTTTCACGGGGGTCGCCTAAGGCCATCGGAAAACACATATATAATTGCATATTGTTTTTGTGATTAATCACTGTGCTTTCATTATGTTCGATTTGTAACAATGAAATTGGGGGTCACCACAACATGAGGAACTGTGTGAAAGGGTCGCGGCATGAGGAAGGTTGAGAACCGCTGGTGCAGAAGGTGACCCAGGTGCAAAGTGTGCACTTGCAGCCCAGTGGCTCCGTTTCCGGCAACATCCTCCCCAGGATAGTCCGCCAGCTGAGAATTGAGTTCTTGCGCCAAATATGCCCAAGGTTATTTCAAGGGCCTGGGAGCTGGGCAAAGACACAAATATGCACCTATAAACATACTGCCACTTGCCCCGGGGAGGGGGCATGGAGGCCGAGGGGAGAGGTAGAGAGAGAGGATGAAAGAGATATGGATGTGAAAGTCGGATAAAATGCCAGTTTCCTCCTTGGGATCCGCCTGGAAGCATTCGAAGCTACTGCTGCCCCTGCTCCCTGGGGCTGGACACAGCGCCCAGAAGAGAAATCACAGATGCAGCGTCCATTGTGGCCAAAGGCCAAAGGCCCCGTCTCCTTTATCATCCGGGTTCCTGTGCCCTGCAGCGGCCCTTATCCTACCTGAAACCAGCCAGTCCCCATTCCCGGAATCTTAGGTGTATCGTCCTCCCTGAAGGCATGTCAGCAGCTTTGGGCGCAGTCCGCCAGCAGGCGGTTATAAACACGTGAATAAACACCATAAAGTGGGACTCAGACTTGGAGTCCTGCCAGGACTAGCTAACCATTTGCTCCCTGGTTCTGGCTGAGCCCAGGAAGCCATCGTTGCTCTGGGCAAACGGTGAGCGGATCAGGGGCACATCTCAGCTCAGCTGCTGGCTCAGAAGGTGCTGTTGGGGTCCTCACTCTGTGCCAGGCATCGCGCTAAGCACTAGAGACACTAAAACGGGGGCCCTCTGACCTTTTCAGTGAAAGATGAACTGGGATCACTTAATGAGGGTACAGAGCATGTGTGAGTGTGTGTGTGTGTGTGTGTGTGTGTGTGTGTGTGT